CTCTATAAATGACAAAATTTAAGGTTTTTTTTCTCGAGGACATTTTGGTTATTTGCAAATTACAGGTAGGGGGATCCAGTGAGTAAAGGGGAAATTTCAAGAGGTTTTTGTAAGGCACCCAAAGTTCAGGGGTTTTATGTGAGACAAACTAAATTCATGCAGGTTATGTGAAACATCCCCTAAAATTCAGGGGGTTATGTGAAATTAACCCTTGAATTAACTATTGGCATAATCTTCTTAATTACTTCTCATCGAGTTCTCTTAGGTCTATCTCTAGTCCTTTTGGCCCTCATTAACTATAATGTTATTACTTTTTCTAACTAGTGCATTTAGTAACCTCCATTGTACATGACCAAACCATGTCAATCGTTTCTCTCTCATTTTATCCTTAATTGGAGCAACCAAGCAACCACTATTCTATTACTAAATACACAACCAAGCAACCACCATTCTATTACTAAATACACTCATTTCTTATCTTATCTCTTAGTGTATATTAACTCACAAAGCATAAAAGCAAATAATGACATTAAATTTGACTGGGCATGGAGCTCAGTTTTACTCTTCTCAAGTTCCAGTGTCGGAGATATTCTAGTTGAAGTCAATAAATATATATATATTCAAGGATACTTTAGAGGCAACATATTTTCTAGGAAAGACGGGAGCTCTCTTGCTTATTGCGCACGATACCCATAAATGATGTGCGAACTGAAAACTTAATTTGTTTATACTTGAATATATCAGTCTAGGATTTAACAGGGCGGTCAAATGTCTTTGCTCTCACAATCACATTATCTAGCTTTATTTAAAAGGTATATTCTGTCACATGAAGACCTAAAAATAAACAAAGCTATGAATATCAACCACACTAAAAGGCTTGCAAGGGTCGTAGATGGAATAGTTAATACTTGTCATGAAATTCAAGCATTTGTGGGGATAAGATTAGCTGAGGCAATCTTCAAGGGAAGCATTTTAAAAGGTGGGGGGTGGCTTGTTCATAGATCAAATTCTTTTTGCTCAAACTTGAAGGAAGGTATTATTAACATACTCAACGTAACATGATCTACCATACCAGACTGTGATTCTGCATGTCAGTTAACACAGAGGAATAACTGACATACTATAAATAAATAAATAAATTTAAAACTCAACTAAGTAATTTTCCTTGAATACCCGTTAAGATCAAACACTGAGTAGCAGATAAAAAGCACAAAGTAACTAACAAAAATAAATTTTCCAAGACTACTATTTCAAATATACCTGTCTCGCATTTGGATGCCGAAAACCACGCATATTTTGCCCCAAGATGCCCCCTAGAAATCTAGACCCCCGAGCCATTTGTTGTAGTAGACACAGTTAATTGGCGATATAACCCCATCCGGTGTGCATTCGTGAATCCTCGGACAAACCCCACAAGGAATAGATGCAAATGCACCTTCTTTTGGACCCCCCTCACCCCTTGATACCCTGTAACAGTCCCTCCCCTCGGGTACATGAGAGAAATCGCCGACACCCGAGCTCCTCACTTTCTCCACCTCCTTGTCCAACACCATCAGCTCAAGGATCTCATATACCTGCTGCAACGTGATTTCCGTGGTAAAAACAGGAGGCCTGCCCCTCTTCGGCTCCTTGATGGCTTTCCTTACCATCTCACAAGTCGCGACTTTGTGCTCCTCGACATGTCTCCTGCACTGTTGCCTCAGTATCTTAATAAACGCGACGTCCAGGGACCCGCTTTGGTACCAAGCGCCGCCGGAGACGTCGGCCGAGGGTTCGAATTCCACGGCCATGACCATTTTCCTGCTCTTGTTTTTTATGCTGATGACCTCCTTTATGAGGTTCTTGGTCAGGAGGGACTTGAGGGCTTTGGCGACCGCGGTTGGTGGGCCCATTACTTCCTTCTTGAGGTCGTTCGTCCATATTCCGGAGCCCTTCCTGCTCTTGATCACGCTGTACATCTCGGACTCCACATCGCTGAGCTTCGGGAGACGAGGATTTTGGGGCGGCATGCCGGAGACCTAATTTAGATATAAAACTGTGGGTATAATGCGATGTAATTGGCGTCACGGTGATAATTAGAAGCTTTCTGATTGAATGGAGATATAAAAAAAAATGGAGAAATATTTGTAGAAATATTTGTAGAAACGTCTACGCTTAAATTGAGGTCCTTCACAACAATCAAATGGGTGATTGAATTAATTGAAAGAATAGGAATTTAAATGGACAAATTCAATCGAAAAGGTAACAATTACCGACGACGAGAAGGGGTTGCCGAGCGGCGATGACGGCGGCGGAGAGAGGGGTTTGAGGAGTCGGCGAGGGGAGAATGAGGAGAAGCCCTAGGTTTATATTGCAACCTTATTTACAATGTTATCAAAAATTAATTTTCATTTGAATATATGCTACTCTCAGCTCGATGTACCCGTCTTCCCTTTTCAAACGATTGGTTCCGGTTCGAACCTGAGCAAATTTCGATTTTTCTCAACGTTTTCCGTTTGTAAAAATTCTGAAAATAGACCACATTTGCTAAATATTTAGCAAAATCGACCATTTTGCTAAATATTTAGCAAAATCGACATCTTTTTGGCCTGTTGGCCAAAAAGAGGTCGATTTTCAAAAACTTGGCATGAAAACATACGTGTTTTCAATACACTAATTAGAGATTAGAAAACATACGAGACTAGTAGTCCCGTATACACTAATTAGAGATTAGAAAACATACGAGACTAGTAGTCCCGTATGTTTTCTGTGAGCTTCTCATGGCTCAGCAACAATTTGCAGAGGCTTTTGCCTCAGCAATCAAATATACGGGACTAATAGTCCCGTATATTTTGCAGAGGCAATTTTCCTCTGCCCAGCAAAAATACGGGACTACTAGTCCCGTATTTTTGCTGGGCAGAGGCAAATTGCCTCTGCAAAATATACGGGACTATTAGTCCCGTATATTTGATTGCTGAGGCAAAAGCCTCTGCAAATTGTTGCTGAGCCATGAGAAGCTCACAGAAAACATACGGGACTACTAGTCTCGTATGTTTTCTAATCTCTAATTAGTGTATTGAAAACATACGGGACTAGTAGTCCCGTATGTTTTCAGGCCAAGTTTTTGAAAATCGACCTCTTTTTGGCCAACAGGCCAAAAAGAGGTCGATTTTGCTAAATATTTAGCAAAATGGTCGATTTTGCTAAATATTTAGCAAATGTGGTCTATTTTCAGAATTTTTACAAACGGAAAACGTTGAGAAAAATCGAAATTTGCTCAGGTTCGAACCGGAACCAATCGTTTGAAAAGGGAAGACGGGTACATCGAGCTGAGAGTAGCATATATTCAAATGAAAATTAATTTTTGATAACATTGTAAATAAGGTTGCAATATAAACCTAGGGCTTCTCCTCATTCTCCCCTCGCCGACTCCTCAAACCCCTCTCTCCGCCGCCGTCATCGCCGCTCGGCAACCCCTTCTCGTCGTCGGTAATTGTTACCTTTTCGATTGAATTTGTCCATTTAAATTCCTATTCTTTCAATTAATTCAATCACCCATTTGATTGTTGTGAAGGACCTCAATTTAAGCGTAGACGTTTCTACAAATATTTCTACAAATATTTCTCCATTTTTTTTTATATCTCCATTCAATCAGAAAGCTTCTAATTATCACCGTGACGCCAATTACATCGCATTATACCCACAGTTTTATATCTAAATTAGGTCTCCGGCATGCCGCCCCAAAATCCTCGTCTCCCGAAGCTCAGCGATGTGGAGTCCGAGATGTACAGCGTGATCAAGAGCAGGAAGGGCTCCGGAATATGGACGAACACGCGATCGGGTACGTGCATCTCCACAATTTCGAAACAAATGAGAGGAACTCTGGACCGCCATATGCCGTGTCCCTCTATACAAATCAGCGGTAGACGATGTAGGTAAGGTGCGTATGGCTGCCACTCGAACTGCAAAATGTATGAAGTCCGCAATAATTTGAGATCACAAATTGTCCGTTGGATTTTTTCCTAACAGATGCATTAAGCTTCCATGGGCATTTTAAATTTCTATCGTCTGCAGCACTTGTATAAGCGGCTTGACATTTCTCATTGAAGTAACACTTTACATGGTAGCTAGTTGAGTTGGATTTCACCGGCTTGAATTTGACTCGGTTCCTAATAGCCCATTCACGTATAGCGAAAATTAAGCTTTCCTTATTCTCAAATAGATCTCCTTTTTTGAAAGTGATATCCTCAGGTCGATTGAAATTAGGACCAGGCTCAACTAACTCAGCTTGTGAGTTATTTACCCACTCATCATTTTCAAACTCTTCGGGTAATGGTTCTTCAGACTCTACATAATCGTTGTTCACGCAATATGCATTCATCCAACTTGCATCATCATTGTTCTCTCCAGTTGCGAACTGCATACTATCAAGACGTTCCTCCTCAGACTCAACATCTTCACTATCATCATCAGCATCTACATATTCGTCATCTTCTTTTATAGAACCACCAACCGGTAAATCAACTGAAATATCATCATACACGTTGTGAAACATGTAACTTGACGTTGCACCTGCGTCATTTTTTAAGTGCAAGGCACTTTGAGATAATGAGATTTGACTTTCAAGCATGCGAGAGAACTCTCCGTGAGCATACGAAACTTCGACAACCCCAGACTTTGGAATATTTTCAATGAACAACTCAATTGCGATTTGTTTATCCGCAAGTTGTATCATGTCATTCAATTCTTCATCAGTGGTGATCTCTACCGCAATTGTTCTTTTTTCATTTATTGGACAATTACAAAAGACCTTAATGGCATTTTCGGCATGATTAATTCTGGTAACTCTGTATATTTGCTCCATCATTCCATCGAAATTGCAATTTCTAGACAACATGAACATTTTCCTAGAGCCTCCATCATATATAGGCAAATTATTCATTCCAACACTCAATTTCCCATTGAATAAGCAAATAATCGGAATTCCATTCGCCATTTTAACTGAAGAATTAAAATTTGACGTATACAAATTAGAAATTTTACAAATTGATGATCATAATTCATTATTTCCTCTAGATATACCTCTAAATATACATATTAACTAAACGAAATTGGAGAAATTTATGAAAAAAAAAATTAAAATTGTTACCTTGTCGAAATCGGATTTCGTTGGCGTCGGAGATCAAGCTCGGCGTCAGATTTGAGGGAGGAGGGGGTGAGTTGGCTTTGGGAGAGAGAGATTGGGTTTGGGAGAGATGGAGATTGGTTTGGGAGAGATGGAGATTGGGTTTGTGTGTGGAATTAGGGTTTGGGAGAGATGGAGATTGGGTTTGAAATTCGGGTTTTGGAGAGATTTCAATGGGTTTGCGAGGGATTGAGATGGGTTTGGGAGTGAGCGTGAAGAGATTGAGATGGGTTTGGGAGTGAAGGTGGAGAGAGAAGGCGGAGAGAGATTGAGATTCTAAGGGGAATAGCGGAATTCAGGGCAGATGGTATATATATGTCGACATTTATACGAGACTAGTAGTCTCGTATAAATGGTTCTCGGGGCTCTGCAAAATGTACAGGACTACTAGTCCCGTACATTTTGGTGAGCCACGAGAAGCTCACAGAAAACATACGGGACTACTAGTCCACATTTTGGTGAGCCACGAGAAGCTCACAGAAAACATACGGGACTACTAGTCCCGTATGTTTTCTAATCCCTAATTAGTGTATTGAAAACATACGGGACTAGTAGTCCCGTATGTTTTCAGGCCAAGTTTTTAAAAATCGACCTCTTTTTGGCCAACAGGCCAAAAAGAGGTCGATTTTGCTAAATATTTAGCAAAATGGTCGATTTTGCTAAATATTTAGCAAATGTGGTCTATTTTCAGAATTTTTCCTTTCCGTTTTTTTACCACATACACCTCCAAAGCCTTAGCCCTATTTACATATCAAATTTCATTTAAATTCTGTTTGCTTGTGTTTTTGTAGAGATGGTGCTACATATATATATCAAGTCTTTACTTTTTTTAAAATTTGGATTTTATGCTAATTTTAAGAGGCTTGGAAAGTTCCAAAACGATTTCTTATTGTATATGCGAATTGTACATTCATACAACATTATTGGTACGAAAATAGTTTTAAACTAATACTATTTATATGAATTCTGGCCAAAAAGGTATTTTAAAAAATATATATCTTATTAATGAAATAGATAAGTTTTTTGATAGAATAAATATATCGTATTAATATTTATAAACTATAGAATATTACTCAAATAAATATTAAAATTTTGTAAATATTCTACTCAGGAATGTTTGTAGTGTATTCATATTAGAGTTCAAATTTGAAGAAATTAAATTTGAAGAAATCATTCCTAATAACAAAATAAACTTAATTTTCTTTTTTTTCTTCTGCAAGCTTTGCGTGCAATTCCAATCTTTCACTCATTAATTTCTCCACTTCTTTCAAACAAGTAGCAAGTTTATGTTGAGACAATTCAACATCTTCTTTAAGCTTGTAAATGTGCTTATTGGATCCTCTTAGCTCATTTTCACACCTTTGAAGTAACTCATCCTTCAAAAGTAATGTATTCCTCAAACCATTGATCTCCTCTCTTATAAGCGAAAACAATTAACAACCAACACTACACATTGACTTGTCAATCCACTCCCAAATGCCACAACCACTAGCCTATCATTACTCATAAATCAAAGAAAATCATAACAAAAGAGATGCCAAAAATAAAATAACTGCAATCAAGTAAAAATGGTTCTAGTAATAACAGACAATTTATATTTTGTTATGAACAACAATAAAAATTGCAATAAATTCAAACTAAAAACTGAACAGTTACACATATAACTGTTCAGTTTTACAATTTCTTACCAAGGAATATGAACCGGAAATGTTGGAGTCTATACAACTGCCTTCTTAAGGCCTATAAATACAACCTAAACTCTATGCTTTTGCCAAAATCAACATCCTCCATCTTTAAATAGTATAGGAGGTAAGAGAGGAGATTTTCTTTTATTTGAAAGTGTAGGCACTAAAATTGCCTTTACACAAGAGAACTCAAATCTCGCCTGTTTGAGTTCGCCTGCGTACTCAAAGAAAGCATAGCTCGCCTGCATTCAGAAGGCCAAATAGAGCTCGCCTGCAAGCTTGACTCGCCAATACGCTTTGCTCGCCTGCATGAGCTAAAGATCGCCAACATGTCTTGACTCGCCAGCACGAGTCAAGCTCGCCTGATTGTCCGACTCGCCCGCACGAGTCGAGTTCGCCTGTTTGTTTGACTTGTCAGCACGAGTTAAGCTCGCCTGCATGGCTTGACTCGCCCGCACGAGTCAAGCTCGCCTGATTTCTCAACTCACTCGCACGAGTCGAGCTCGCTTGAATGCTTCGCTCGCCCGCATGAGTCAAGCTTGTCTGTAGGGAGTTCAC